TTCCATGAATGCTCTGTAAGCCACTCATGAACCATACACAGAGAAACACCAGCAAATCCCCCCAACCTTGTGCCCCAGAAACGTACCATCTAACACTGCTCAAGAGCTTCTCTTGAGCAATGCAAGCTCATTAATTAGTTCGCCACTTTGTCAAAGGATAGTAGATATGCACCAACCTTTGTGATTTGAGCAGATTCCCCAAGCACTTTAGACAAACTCACCAGTCAGGATAAAACGTTAAAATAAGTTTATTAACTACAGAAAAATAGATTTTAAATTATTATAAGTGGTAGTGTAGCGGGGTAGACACCCACTCCTGCCTTGAGAGGCTTAGAAGAGCCCAGGAGAGGGCTATGGCTAGGGCAAGTAGCCCAGGCTGAGTAGGGAAGTAGGGTCAGCTGGGGCCACGCCCCAATTAGGGCTCAGCTGGCCTAATAAGTAGGCAGTGAGCTAGGAGCTGACACTCAGTCACTTGTCTTTGGATAGGGAGGGACCTGTTGTAGGGAGCAGAAAGCACCTTGGTTGGTGCAGGGCTGGGGTGCGGCCAAGTAAGCTGAGGTGCTCTGGCCTGGAAAAATCCCAGGCTGCGGCCTAGTAGAAGGCCAGGTAGGTACTAGGGTTGCAGAGGGGCAGCCCATGGGTAGGCCGAGGCTGCAGGTCCAAGCCCCTCTTTGCCAGTGATGAGTGGCTTTTACACTGTAGTCTGCCCCTGATACAAGGGGTTAGTTGGTGACTGGCAGTAGCCTTACACTGAGGCAAGGTGGGGGGGATCCTGAGAGACAGTGGGTGTACTGTCAGGGGGCAGCCATCCAAGAGACAAGGGGCACCAAGTCTGGGAGGGATGCGGGGCCAGCAGTAAGACAGATCACTGGCCTGTAGAGGGTGCTCTGGAGTCTGGTGAGCTAATTCCCAATGAAGACCATAAGGAGGTGCCGCAGGGGTGAGTCTACACACTTACAGGTAGGCATAAAGGACAGAAATGGTTACCCTAAGAAACAAAAGTAAAATCACAGTCTAAATTCTAAACTTTATCAGACTAAACAAGATTTTAATCAAACTGCTTTTCTCACCCAACTGGATGTTGTGGGCAGGTTACAGTTGTTAATACACAGGCTGAATTCCCTTCTCAGCCTGGAACCAATCTCCCCAGTTCAAAGTTTTTGTCTTTTCAGCATTCTTGTTGCCTTTGGGGTAGGTGGAGGAGGAGAGAGGCCTGGGGGTGATGTCAGTCTCCTATTTATACTGCCCCAATCCATGTGCATGGAAAGATACTGTCCCAAACATGGAGGAGTCAGGGGTCACATGTTCTATGTACCTGCTGAGACACTGGGCCTCCATTGTCTATGTGCTTCAGGAGGGACCACAGGGAGGGTGGATTTTCATTAATGGGCCAGCAACATGTGGCTGGCTAGCCCTAATATAACTCTGTCTTAGGGTTGGTAGTTGCTCCTTTGTTGACACCGAAAGGCCACCTGTGGGCGTCTCCCAGACTCACAACATATTTCAGTAACAAACACATAGCTAACTTCACATACAATTGTAATCCATACAATTCAGCAGCATTGTAATGGTCAACAGATTGTGACTTCTCAAATGATACCTCACAAGGCATACTTTGTACAAAACATATAAGCGTATAACAGTGGTGAATGGGGGGATACAGGGTATCACAGGTAGCCCTTCCCATGCTGAAATTCTTACCACTACTGGTCGTCCCAGGTCCACAGAACAATCCTTTCCCACCAATCTATGCTGGTCTCCCAAGCCCAGAAATGGCTCTGCTCTGTGTAGCTGATCCAGGAACAGCTCCTCTAGTACCAACTTCTTCCTTTCTCTCATCCCACTTTCCCCATCACTGAATCTCCTAGTGCTGCTGGAGAAGCTGACACGTTATACATGCAGTGGGTAGTCTCCAAAGCTGAATTCGTCCAGCTCTGGGTGCTGAAAGACACCCCAAGCAGCCTCTGTGTATGCACAGCTCCCACTACAGTGGAGCAGAGCATTGTTGGGTCCAGGCTGGCCAACAGCAATTCAAAAATTAACGGGGTGGAGATAAGGGATTTTTCAAAAATTTGAAGTCACCTGGCTTCCCACAACTCACAGTGAAAAGATGTGCACTGGTTGAGAGCGCTGTGCAGAGCAGTCACAATGGAGCACTCTGCGATAGCTCCCGGAGGCCAATACTGTCGAATTGCGTCCACGCTACCCCAAATTCGACCTGGCAAGGCCGATTTCAGGCTAATCCCCTTGTCAGGGGTGGAGTAAAGAAACCAATTTTAAGAGCCCTTTAAGTCGGCAAAAAGGGCTTCGTCGTGTGGACGGGTGCAGGGTTAAATCGATTTAATACTGCTAAATTCGACCTCTACTCCTCGTGTAGACCAGGGCTATGAAGCAAAGGACAATAGGATATCTTCTAGGAACAGAACACCCTCCGTTCACAAGCCGTCTCCATGTGTATGCACAATGCAAAGTGAAAAGTGGCAAGGGCATGCTAGTGGTGAAGCTTGCATACAGGGCTTTACCAGACATGCAGCAGAAAGCTTCATATACTCCCCACATGTAGACAAGTCCTAATTCTCAATTTGGTGCCTTCATTGAGGACCTGGGAATAAAAAATCCATCACTGAGCAAAACGTGCACACTCTCTGGCTCCCTTTCTCTTTCTGTATGTACAGCAGTGGTGGGAATCATTAGTAGCAAAGAAAATATTTAAGCATTTTCCAAACATTTCATAATTTGGATTACACAAGATAAAATGTGCATTAGGGATTAATTTTTCTTATTGGCTTATGCAAAATTTGAAATGTTCTGGAAAAAGTGTGTGTTCCTATTTTGGCAGCATTAGTAAAGAACATTGATATGTCAATCTGAAAACTGTTATCCCAAAAAAACTAAGCTAAAAAACCCTCAAACTTATTAAAGTACTAGAAATGGAAATCATTGTGACACTGAAGTGAGATAACTAAAACATAGAGCTCTATAATCATATTCTTGGTGTAACTAAATTTTCTCTCAAAAGGAATTTTACTTACTAAGGGCTTGATCCTGCAAACCCTTACTTAAGTGAGTACTGCAATTGACTAGTCACATAAGTAGGGTTTTGCCAGTTCAGGCCCAAAGTCCTGCCGCATTAGGCTCAAATCTTGTAATGAGCTCCACAGGGATAGCCCCTGTTGTGCCTGGAGGGGTCCGATTGATTTCAGTGGGACTCTGCACACAGGCAGGGGTTTGCTCATGCAGAGCTCACTGCAAGAATAAGGCCTCACTGCTACCAATGCTAGAACTCTTTTCTTCCACACTGCTACATTAGTAAAAATGTCACCACTTAACTATTCAGAAAAACAAACAAAAGCTTTAAGACAGAACCTTCCTCTAGGTCACCTGGTGTGTTTTATGTCTGATTTGTGGTGCTTGACCTTTTATAATGCAAGATGATTGGGGAAGTGATCATTCTTCTGTGTCTTGTACACTGATGGGTACACCAATGTCCATTACAAAATAATTAATTTGTTGCTTAATAGATTTTTAAGGTCAGAAGGAACCATTAGATCTAGTCTGACCTCTTGTATAACATAGGCCATTGTATTTCACCTGGCTCCCCCGTCTGAGCTCAATAATTTGTCTGACTAATGTATATCTTCTAGTAAAGCATACCGCCTTAATTTGAAGACAAGAGGTGGGGAAACAACCACTTCCTTTGGTAGTTTGTTCCAATGGTTAATCACTTTCACTGTTAAAAATGATGCCTTATTTCTAATTTAAATTTATCAAGCTTTAACTTCCAGCCTTTGTTTCTTGCTGTGCCTTTCTCCACTAAATTAAAGAGCCCTTTAGTACCTGGTATTTTTTCCCCAGAATGATACTTTGACATAAGCTAAACAGTTGAAGCTCTTTAAGTCTTTCACTGTATTTTTTGCAACCCTTGGATCATTTGTGTGGTTCTTTTCTGCATCCTCTCATTTTTCCAGCATATTTTTTAAAATGGAAACACCAGCACTGTATGCAGTATTCCAGAATCGGTCTCACTAAGGTGGTGTAGGGAGGTGATTTTACCTCTGTTCGCCTCTGTTTATATATCCCAGGATCACATTAGCCCTTTTGACCACAACATTACATTGGGAGCTTATGCTGAGCTACTTGTCCAATATGACTCCTAAATCCTTTTAGCATTAATGCTTTCCAGTCCCTCATTTAGTTGGTATGGTCCTGCATTCTTTGTTCCTGGATTATCATAGTTAAGTACTAACAAGCAACTTCAATTTTTTCTTGGAAGTCTTAGTTCTGGTCTTTGCATTTATTTTGCATTAATGTTTTAACTAGGGTAAAACTTCTCCACTATTTTAGGGATGCCCTTTACTTGAGATGTAACTCCCAGTATCAAGTCAACATACTCTTGTCCTGCATGTCATCAACAATAATGCAAAGACCAAGCCCTGTAATTTGGGGCTATGGCATAAAACATTGCAGGGAGCTGTCCCCTAAGAATAATGGTTGTGGTTCCTTGGCAGCATTTTCACTATGAAAGAAAGTGAGCACAAAAACTGATCCAAAACTTTTTGGACCAGTAAAAGGGGCAGCACTGCTGTGACGTGTGAAAGCAGTGGAAACAAAGGTGGTGCCACTGGAAATGATTTCTCAAAGGAAGTACCAGGGGCCTAGCGCCCAGGAGCCACGCCAGGAGCCCAGGCGGGGCAGCTGGGACACACTGTAGGCTCTGCGGGGCAGGGACCAGCTCCCACTGCGGCTTTGGCGCCTGCCCATGCTTGCTTGGCCCTCAGGCCCGGCTCCTCGGCGGGATTTCGGTGCCGAACGGCCCTGGCACGACGCTAGGAAGGCGAGCGCGGGAAGAAAGCGGGACTCGCAGCCGCAAAGCCCCAAGCAGGGCGCGCGCCAGCGGAGTGTGGGCGGCGGACGCTAGGCCGCGGGAGGCTGCGCTCGGCGCGGCTCAGTCCCGCCCCCTGCGGGGGGACCAATAAAGTTGCTACAAAGTGACCTTGGGCTGCAGCGTTTTCCTCCCCCCCCCCTACATCCGGGCGCTCCTCGCCCCCGCCGCGCCTGCGCACCCCACCCCATTCAGTCCGCTCGACCTCTGCCGCTGCAGCCGGTAAGTGTGGGGGGAGCCGGGGACGGTCGCCCCATCTGCCCCCATCTACCTCGCGGCGCCCCGGCCCTAACCGCGCTTGCTCTCTCCGCAGAGAGGCGGATTCCAGCGCCGAGGAGGCCCCGGGGACACAGCGCCAGCCCGCAGCCCTCTGCCATGTTCGCCTGCGTGAAGCTCGCCTCCTCCCCGGCCCTGGTGAGTGCCGCCGGCTGCGCCGCCGCTGCGGCTCGGGACAGCTCCCGCGCGGCCCCCTCCAGGCTGCTGGCTTCAGGTCCCAGCTCCGGGAGGTAGGGGGCGGCTGTGAGGCTGCAGCGGGGGCTTCCCCAGTGCCAGGAGTGAGCTGCCGCCGTGGCCTGGCTCCCCCGGCCCCTTGCTGTAGGTCAAGTCCCTTCTCTGCAGCCTCGGGCTCCGCGGTGAGTAGCGGGATCTGGGGGGAGAGAAGCGATCCCCCCGCCCCGAGGGCTGGGCGCTGCTCGTGGGGCCTGGCGCCCGCTCAGCCCCTTGCTGTAGGTCAAACTCCAGCTTATCGCTTCCGCTGCGCAGGACCCTCCGCCCCTGCCGGGATCACTCGGCGCAGCCGGCGCCCTCCCCGTTCTGCCGCGGACACGGGCCGGTACGAGTCACCGTGACCTTAGAGCGGTGGGAGCCCAAGGACACCAGCAGGCCGCGCTGGAGAGAGGGTTCATTCATTCCTCCCTTGCTAGATTTAATTTTGGGTGTTGTCTCTCAAAAGTTACCAATTCCTTCTTACAGAGTAGCTAAGGATTTTTAAGTGCATTGCAGTGGATTTTTATTACTGCTGAAAAACTCAAGTTTCTACTTTATTCTTCTTAGCTCTGAAACATGAGGGCAGTTACCCTTTCAAAATGAGATCTGAATTATTCTTGCAGTCTTCTGTATTTCACTGTTCAGCTATAGCATGATACTCACAAATAAGCAAGTCAGAAGTACTTGTTTTGATATAAACAAATGGGTAGCAACTTGATTAGTGTCGGGTTACAAATGTTCAGTGTCCTGCTTTCATTTTAATTTCTAAAATGTGTTATCTCACCCTTTGTTTTAAGTGTGATTTATCTAATAGCAATAAAAACATTATTTGCTCTCAGTATTACAGTGCTGTTTAGCAATGGCTCCAGATAAGGGATTAGCATGAACATTGACATAAAGAACCCATTCCAGAAAAGGGGACTGAGAGTTAGGGAATCAAGTGATAAATGAAAGCTTTCTTCTTATTTTGCACTGACATTGCTAGATATGCCAATGTCTGCAGATTGTCAATGTCCACTGCCTTGACCTTAAGATGAAAGACTTAGTGACTAGCAAAGTCCTTGATCTTATATAAAAAAATCACTATTAAAAGCCAGTGCAGTTATGTAGAAATATGTTTGTAGTCAAATATGTCACTTTATTTTCTCTTACAGATCCGTGCAGGATCAAGAGTCTTGTACAGACCAATTTCTGCATCAGTGTTGTCTAAGCCAGAGGTCAGGACTGGAGAGGTACCTTATAAACTAAACTCTGTAGCTTCCTAAACTTTCTGGTGAGCCCAAGTGTTCTCATCCTAGTTTTCAAATGTACTTTACTAACTAAGGTTTCAGAGTAACAGCCGTGTTAGTCTGTATTCGCAAAAAGAAAAGGAGTACTTGTGGCACCTTAGAGACGAACCAATTTATCTGAGCATAAGCTTTCGTGAGCTACAGCTCTCTTCATTGGATGCAGTCATCCGATGAAGAGAGCTGTAGCTCACGAAAGCTTATGCTCAGATAAATTGGTTAGTCTCTAAGGTGCCACAAGTACTCCTTTTCTTTTTACTAACTAAAATATTGACTGTATGACAGATCCTAAAGGGTCATCTAATACATTTTCTCCCATCAAAGCTACAGTCCTTTATGTTCTGCAAGTAACATACAGAAGTCTAAACTTCCAGTCACAGACTCTAATAAACTCTTTAACCACTCTGGTTTACTATATTTGTAATAGAAGAATGGTAGAATAACTCAAAACTTCAAAATAGCTTTGGAAGATCTCAGTTTGTCTCTGTATTTAAATGCTTTTCATGTTTGTTTCTCAGGGCAGCTCAACACTCAATGGAGCCCAGAATGCTGTCTCCCAAGTAGCACTTAGAGAGTTCCAGACTAGTGCTGTCAGCAGGGATATTGACACTGCTGCCAAATTTATTGGTGCTGGTGCTGCCACAGTAGGAGTGGCTGGTTCTGGTGCTGGTATCGGAACAGTCTTTGGTAGTCTAATCATTGGCTATGCCAGGTAATCCTTTTTTTAATATCACTTAAGTTGCATGCAAACCTATTTAATGATAAACTTGAAGATATATATTGGTAGCAAAGTCTTGATAAACTTCCACTAAAACAGTTAGTGTGTAGAGTTGAAGTAAAGCCCCTCGAATAATTCTTCTAACATGTCAAGCTGTTAGAATATTAGGTAACGGCACACCAGGCACAAGTGCTGAATTTCTAATATTCCAGAATTCAGTATATGCAAACCTTACGTGACTTCTCAGGGCAAACCAGCTACAGCTAAATCAGTGTTTCATGTTTAGTTCTTCAGTACTAGCTTCAACTCTGAGACTCCAAAACCTATCCTAGACTGAATATAGCTTAACAATATTTTGTAGGGGACAATCCTACATTAACAGAGGGACAAACTGGATGGTGGATGTTAATATTTAACTTGAGATCCTGTGCCTCTTTTAACCCAATTATCAGGATTGTTCTTAAGAAGTAAGGTTGATTACAGGGCTGTAGCAAGAATCTTTTTCTTAATGTTGTGCCAAATGCAGCTTTATAGAGTTACTGCAGTAACTACTTCCATGGCAACCAATTTCAGACTAGTGATTCCACTGTTGGAGCTTGAGAAGGGGAAACACCTTTAAAGAGGGAGAGATCTTAGTTCACTGTGTTCATAATTTTGTTTCCCCTATTTCATTTAATTCCCATACAGTAGTATCTCGAATCTTACTACTGAGCAGATAGCAACTGGCACAGGCATGAAATTACTTAACTAGCTGTAGAGTTCCTGCTTTCTCTTCTCCCCTCCCTCCCCCCGACAAAAATATATTTAAACACCTTAACTTGTTTCCATTTATGAACACTCTTACAAAGTATCAACTTGGCATTAAATGCCTGATTTTGTTTCCCATTCAGGAAACAAAAATATCCTTCTAACCAAACTAGTTACTTTATCTCTTGAAACTACAAAAAAAATGACTGTTTCAAATTGACATTTGTGCTTGCTTTTTTTTTTTTTTTTTTTTTTTTTTTGTGGGGTCGAGAGGGGCAGGGAGGCAAGTGTTACAAGTTACTAATCCATAATTACTTCTTTCCTCCCACACTTCCTCAAGTATACTCAGTTGCAGTTTTAGGGGGCTGGCAAGCCATCTAAGGCAGAAATAGTTGAGTATTATGGGTTATCTGTAAGCCACCTAAATATTACAAGGGTGTTCAGAATAATTCTGGATGTATAACAAACTCAGGCCCCCGGGAATACTCAATTGTGTGCATTGCACACCAGTGGAATTAACCAGAGAAATCTTAGGCTGGTAGGTAATTACTGCATATGAACTTTCTCCATGTTGATATCTCTGTCTACCAAGGCTCTTTTGGTTTTGCACTTGTATAGACAGGGCCTTCATGTTTGTAATCTTGTGCTTGTGTAAAATGTCATACCCAAACATGGGTATATTAATATGCAGTGTACACAATTTAAATCCAGTCTTAACTTATTTAGAGGTCACGATTGTATGGTTAACTCTGTTAACGTTTGTGTGGGTTTACTGTGTGTTTTCCCTGCTATTAGGAGGGAATCTGTAGCATGAAAGTAATTTAAAATCCTTAACTGGCTCTGTCAGATGCATCAAACTAAATTAGCATAAATTCTTAATTTGTATGTATATAAAACAATCTTATACCTGCACGTTCTCTTTTAGAAATCCCTCTCTGAAGCAGCAGCTGTTTTCATATGCTATCCTGGGATTCGCCCTGTCTGAAGCTATGGGTCTCTTTTGTCTGATGGTTGCTTTCTTGATCCTGTTTGCAATGTGAAGAGATCTGCTGCTCGTAATTTTGGCATTAGTAAACTACAAATGTAATTGTATGTATTTTACTGAGGCTCCCAAAATGTTGGTGTCGTGGAAATGAACATTATTTCCAAAGTCATTTCATTAAAGATAATAACTTTAACTGTCTGGCTGTGGCCTTCATTTATTAATTTGAACACTCTGTATTGGGTATGATTTTTTTGGGGGGAAGGATATTAGTTAATGTGAAAAACTGTAAATGGGGGCCTATGCTGACCTGCAGTCACCACAAATTTCTCCTGATCCCAGTGAATTCACATGGAGTATAGGACCCCGTAACCATAACTTCAAACAGAACGCCATGAAGTTTGAAATGCACATTAAAGGCTTTCTCTATGTAGTTATTGCATATATCGTGTCAATTTTAATTTTAAGTTTGATGCATTTGTCATCTTTCTGGTTAAAGACCCCTAAAATAACCTGTCTAAGGCTATTGGTGACCTTAGGTATATGAAATACTAATGACTTTTGAAATAACATTCAGAACCACAATTAAACTTTTAGACCTATCTTCCTCTACTAAAACCATTTTGTTTCCTCTTCCCATGTTCAATTCCAATACTGCTGAACTTGATAATGTGTTCCTTAGCACCTTTCATCTAAGGATCAAAATTGGGGTAGTCAATAGGAAGATAAAATCTGGACTGTCAGATGTTTCTGAACAGACCCTGAAATCTTTATTTACTACTTATTTTCTCTGGCATCTGGACTTTGACTGTACCTTGACCAAGACATTTGGACCTTGATATAAAAATTAATTGACTACCCCTGATTTTAAATGCTCAACAAACTGTGGTAATGCTGCTACTTTAAGAAAGTCCACTGTCTTTTAAGAGTCCCATAGGTCCAGAAGCTTGGCCTGTTTCAAACCTCATTGCTCAAAAGTGGTTCTGCAGTCCAATCTCCTGTATCCAAATCTTGGTCAGTCTTGACCAGTGTCTCAGACTCTTTAAATATCAGTTTACAAACGGGGTCAGAGTTGTCTATATGCAGGAAATCTTTAAAATACCAGGTGTGTTGTTCTATAGTGATTCTGCTTTAACAGTATTAATGGGACTGATGACCATATGCAGCTTTGATTGTCTAAACTACAGTGTTCATCTGAGAGATCACTTTCTCAAACTACACACATTCTTGGTGGAGGAGATTAGGCCGTGAGATCAAGTGTAGTGCTAACTTAATGCATATACTGGTTAGCTAACTCTGATTACTTAAAGGCTACTACTTGCTATGAAATAGAAGTAATTTGTATGGAAAGTACAGAAAATCCCAAAGAAGCTGGGGGTGTGTGTGTGTGTGTGTATATATATATATATATATATATATTTTTTTTTTTGGTAAAGTAGGCATGGCAATATAATTTGAGCTGTTAAATAACCTGTACACTAAATCTTGTGGCTGTCTTTTACACAATTATGTACACAACTCCACATTTTCTCTACCACAAACATTGCAATAATTCAGTCCTAGCTGCCTTACTAGCACAATTGTAAAAGTAGTTATGACTAGCTCTAAAAGAAAATTGAAAATCCAGTCACAACCTTCCATGTGGCAGCAATATTAAATAAATGCATGAGACCCTTTACCTCTCACAGAAGGCGTATTTGGTAGCAACAAACTGCTAAAGGCTTGGATGATCACAACTGCTCGTTCTAACCTCCCAGCAAGAAAAATATCACTAATGTTCATATTAAACTCTGTCCCTGAAACTTCTACCTGTTGCAAGTAATTTTAAAATAGGATTTCTTGGAGTTTTGTAACCTTAAATTTACTTCCACCTAAGTACGTTCCATTATTCCCCCTATTTAGTCAGCTGTCTTGCTGCTGAAAAACATTTAAACATCAAGCAGGCAGCAGAAAAGTCTTTGACATTCAGAAAGACTATTGTTTAAAAATATCCCTAATATAAAAGACAAATTGAACACTTGTAATTTTGGTATTGAAGTAAATTTATTTTTCACTGTTAGTAGATACTCAAGAGCAAAAAGCTGCCACTGTAACGTGTTTCTGTTTTCATATGTGCATATTATCCTTCAATATTCTATCCTAAAACCTTTGTTAAGCCTGCAGGCATCTTAGTATTGAGTGTATATTAACTGTTTCAAGTACACAGTAAGGGAGCCTTACCTACACGACACTTATGAGGTTAATGTAAGTAGGCCTAATCAATCACCTACCTTCTGCAACTGGAAGAGGCTTGGGGAGGGGATACCATACAAGCTTTCGGGGTCAACACCAGCCTTTGAGGAGCTAAATGAACCATCATCTATGTTGTTTGCTAAGTAATAATTCATGTTTGCCATTTGTATTGTGATAATGCTGGCGGGTGGGGGTATGTTAAGCTCCCAGTATGTTAGGGATTGTACAAACCCATAACAAAACTACAGACTTGCCCATTAGAAGAGTTATTGAGATTCTTTGGGATGTCAAATCATGTATCCAGCTGATCTCAAATAAATCCAACCTTTCCCATAAAAGATAATCTACCATCTTGAGACCAATATTCTGTTGTTTGATTTATAGTGGGGAGGGGGTGCAAAATTCAGGTTATAATGTCAAACTGAGTGAAAATTTAAAGGGACACTGGTCAAGCTGATATTTTTTTTTAAACTGACTTTTTTTTAATGGAGTACTCTTGGAAAAAAAATATGGCCTTAAGAGGTTGTTTTTAACAATGGATTTTCTTCATTATTATTTGTAGTGCAGTAGCTAGTAGCCCTGATCATGGATTAGAATCTCATTGTGCTAGGCACTTTACACACAGAAAAAAACAGTCCTGGCTCTGCTGTTAATATTTAGAAGGGTCTTTTTGGTGGACCCATATGTAACATTACCAAAGATGCTTGCAGACACTCCTCCTCCTGCATCTCCTACTCTTCTAATCTATGTACATGTCTATTTGTAGCCTCTTCAATTTCAATTTACTGATAAATACTTTTGCAAAGCTCTGGGTAGACAATGTGCTGTTAACCAAACAGAAAATGATTATACAACTGATGAGAGACAAGATGGGGGAAGTAATATCTTTTATTGGCCCAACCTCTGCTGGTGAAAGACAAGCATTTGAGCTTACACAGAGCTCTTCTTCAGGTCTGGGAAAACTACTCATAGTGTCACAGCTAAATACAAGGTGGAACAGATTGTTTAGGATAAGGAGTTAACACATGTTGTAATAGACCATTCAAGAGAAAGTGGGGAGTTAACACTGCTGCAGTAATAGGACTAAAAAGGAGAGTCATTAGATTATAGATTGTTTTAATAAGCCATAAATTCAGTGTCTTTACTGAGTCTGTGATTTTTAGTCTAACAAAGTTGTGAGTTTAAGCTCCCAGTGTTATGCAGATTTCCTTTGAGGATGAGGGCTGAGAGGTCAAATAATTGACGAACTGAAAAAAAACAAAAAAACCCAACACATTTTATTCTTTAACCTCAGAGGAATTTTAGGTGCTACATTAGGATCTACTATAGTTAAATTTTTCAGATAGAAATATGATTTGAATTGACAATATCTGACCCATTACGAACTGCTTACTGTCATTAAATGATCAACAAGCCTCAGACACTGCAATAAGACTATTAAATGTGAGATATAGATGTGATTTTTGCATCTAATTGAGCTGTTGCTTTAGGTATAATTAAAATAAATGTTTATGTAACTAAAGGAAACAGTTTACATTTATAGCAGTAAGTTTTTTCTGCATCGATTAAGAGCATAAACATTCTGGTTCAAAGAACAGACTTGTAAATGAAGATCCTATCGTTTTCCCCATTGCATTTTAGCAATCATAGTCTGAGGAAATTTCATTGCCCTGTTAACTGTGTGACTCTATGTTAATTGGATTCAGGTGTCCACAGTATACTAAACTTTGTTCTGGTGATAATGCTAACATTTTGTTGTATGCATACTTTGCATTGCAAATAGCTTTTATTAAATTGAATAAATATGTAAATCTTATGGTTGCATTTTAAGGAGCTATAATTCTGATATTATTCAGCACCTCTGTTTAGCAATCAGCAATGTTTAAATTACATAACATTTTCCTGCTTCATTTATAAAGGTTGCCTTACTGTCTTGGATCAACCACAAAAGATGCTTTTAGTACTATAGCTGCTGGAATTTTTTAATAAAAATGCAAAATGTTTTAGCTAATGTTTAGTATTTTATTTAAAGGAACATTGTCAACTTAAAAATCACACTTTTTGAAATTCGAATTGCTAGTATGTTCAACTATTATCTAAGAATTTAATAAATTAAAGATTAGAAGAGAACTATATTTTTATAATGTTCAATTTGTTTATGCATTAAAAGCATTTTGTGTATAGTCATTTGCACTGGTTTTCCACTGTCCGTTTTTCATATTGCTTGTGGGTTTTTTGTACAGTAACATTGGCAGAAAAAAGCATTTTTCATAATAGGAAAATATTGTTGCTAAACTAGAAATTGTCAGGTAGTTCATAGTCAAGTGCAGTTTCCTGAAATACTTTAAATTTTTTTTAATTTGAAGATATTTCAAATGATCAGTAAATTTTGGCTAAGTGCACTCCATACTTGCTAATAGTATTTAAAGTGTGCAAACTGCATTTATTTTTCTGCTTTCAGTGTTTTGAGATACAGGTACTTGGCATAATTCTTACAATATAATTTGGTTTTATTGAGCTGTGTAACCAGCTCAATGTATTAAAATTTAAAATGATAGATTCTGGTAGTATAGTGATTGCAGACAAAGTGGTGGCAGGCATTTTGTGCTCTGTAATAGCTCATATGCAACATAACACATACTGGTTATGACTGAGGCGGTCTAACCCCTTCTCTCAAAAGTGGTAAGATTTTTAAACTGCCAACTACAATAGAAAGCCACCCGTCCACATCTGATCTGTAGGAACTAAGTATTCTGGGAGCATGAGGCTAGTGTCAGCACTGGCTGTGAGACATAGTCTTTGTCTTCACTGCAGCGTAATTTCAAGTTGGACATTACAAGTCAGTACAGCATGACCACACTGCAGAACAGCATTGAGTACCCCACATATGTAGTCACACACTGCGTCAGTACTGGTGCTGTATTCAATCCTGAAATGCAAAGATTTCTGGGTACATAACTTATG